CTGAAATGCGATTTGTGTTAGGCCTGACTTGCCTGGAATTCCAAATCTGTCTTGTTTCTTATGGAATGGCAACTTGATGACGCGAAGAGGCGAGGTCAAAAACGCTGCGCATTCGAGCCTGAATGAGGAGAGCTCCTGGGCGACAGGACAAAGTGACATTCACTCGTATGTCTGCATGTATGACAAGCAAAAAGGAGCCAACCAAATAATGGAATACCTCATTATAAAAGCAAAGTTAAGTGTAAAAAATAAGTTGAATTTTAGTCGTTCATCTTTCTTTGTTTTGTTTTTTTATTATTGCTCGTAAATAATGTTTTTTTTAACTCTGGCGATGCTCGTCACATGAAGCACGAAAGCTGAGAACAGATGAACTGAGGCCTTAGCTGCACAATCTAATAGCCACAAGTCCAAGGTAACCCTTCTTCGGGATTGGGTAGTGCCAATTCACGAATCCCTTCCAACCGCCCTCTCGAACGAAATGAATGACATGTCAGTGCCTGTGTGAAATGCTGCACCATTGCGATGCGTGATTGCGGGCAAGTTAAACTATGATTTCCCAGGCCGTCTTAGCAAGGCTGAATTCACACTATGGAGGTATTGACGACGCAGAAAGGGCTTTAGAGTCTTTGTCCAGTCGACTTTTTGGTCAAATGACGAATGTGATCTATTCGACTCTTCAAACGGTTCTCGAGAGGTAGGACAACAGAATTTCTTCAAAACCAGCTCCCTCTCACAGCCACAAAGCGCAAATTTTCCACTAGGCCCAACAAGCCAAAGGGTGCCCAGCTCTTCGCGCCAAGAAAGCCTATCTCAAACCCATAACGGAGTCAGTGTACAGTATGGGAGAGCGCTACGTCAACTGTGCCTACTGGAGCAGAGGACACCGAATGGAGTACAGCCTTGGTGGCGGGTGTGACAAAACCGAGGGTAAAACGAGCCGCGACTGGCCCATCGTTCCTGCAGGCCGTCAAGCATCCCCTCCGAGAGGGCCCGTCCATGCAACGTTTGTCAAGCTCGAGCCCCGTCGGGCAGCTTTGGGGGCTCGATCTGGCAAAAGTTGCAGGTGGGTCCGACCGGCCCCGGCCTGGCTCCATGCCACGACCCAACCGGGCCGAAAGACGACCCGGCGGATGGTATGCAGCGCCGAGCCGGCGACCGATGGAGACACATGAAAAGACGACATCGTTGTGCACACACTTTATTCACACATTAGACAATTAATAAAGGAGCAAAAATCCTGTCACTAGACCCAGTCAAGGACAGAGACGACACATGACGTGGAGACTATTTGGCGTCACCGGCCTTTGCAGGACAGCAGCTGCAGGTGCAAGCGTCGGGGGCGCAGTTGCAACCTTCACCCTTCCTGCAGGAGTCACAACAGGAGCAGTCGGTACCGCATTTACATCCAGAAGTGC